AGACAAGGACTCCACCACCACCCTTGACACATCCCTGAAAAATACCACCACCATTGCATCAACCAAGCTGGACCCCGCCCAGAAGCAGATGAAGTGGGTAGTCCCCCGATACCCAAAGGAGATACCCCTCGAACCCCTGGAGAACTATCCGGAGATCCTAAAAGCCGAAAGATGCTCTCCCGTGACCGACAAGACGGCCAACGCAAAACAAGTGCTCATAATGCACTACGGTCCACCCCCCAGCACAATGGACCTCAAAACCTGGGGGATCTACAAAGTGAGGCCCTTCGTTCCGGAGCCCCTACGGTGCTTCAGATGCCAGAAATACTGGCACCATCAGACGAGGTGCACGTACAAGGAAATCTGTGCCGTCTGCGCGCAGAAGTACGGCATACACTCCTGCCTTAGCAGGTTGAAGAATGGGGAAAAAAATTGCCCCCAAGTGTGCCAACTGTGGGGGCAACACCACGCCTGGAACCCTGGATGCTTCGAGAGGACAAAGAGGGTCCAGGCAAACCGACCAGCACCACCTCCAGCAGCAAGACCGGCCTCCACCGCTTGCACACCAGCCCCACCAAGCACCTTCGTGTGGGGAATCCAATGGCAAAGACAACAAAGCCAACCCGCTCAACCAGGCAACTCCCAAAGTGTGGCCCAGTTTCCTGGCCTCCCTAAGGCCATACATCAGCTCCCCAAGCAGCAGACAATGACAACAACTACGAAAAAGACAAAACAAGCACACACCAAGGCACCAGAAGGAATGATACACGTATCAGACCTAGCCAAGGTACTGACAACCTTCGCCGAGGGCCAAGCCGGACTACTGGGCCACAAGATCCAGCCGACACAGCTCCAAATACTCATGGGGAGCGTCCGCGGGAAAGTCGCCACAGCTCCAGCCACCTCAGTGGAGAACACCATGACGGCCTCCATACGAGTGACAGCCGAGGTACACTCTACACCGAAAAAGGCCACCAGGGAACCAAAGATACCATCAGCTCCCAGAAAGAAACTGGACGTTTCAGCTCCCCTGAACCAAACCACGGCCCAGAAGGCAAAAACCACCACAGAACAAGAGGATATGAACCTGATCCAGTAGGAATCAGACCTGAACATATCCATCAAGGATCACCAGCAGTCCGCAATGAAACAGTGGTGGAAAACACCAGCACCCTGAACATCCTTTCATGGAATGCTCAGGGCATCAAAAACAAGAAACACCTCCTGCAAGAAGCAGCAGCCAAGGACAAGCTTGACATTATACTGCTACAAGAAACACTTCTACAAGAACACCACTGTTTCAAATTCAGTGGTTACAAGACATACAGGAGGCATTTCACGCAGGAGTCGACAAGAAGATGTATGATCTTGGTCAAGTCGATCATACCCTCCACCGAGGTCATGCAGCAATTGCCATGTGGGGAAAACATAGAGACACAGGCAGTCAAAGTAATCCTCCAAGAACGGGAAATAACCGTCCACAACATATACAAAAACCAAGGGGCTCACTGGAGGTGACTCAATTATTCGCTTCGGCCGCTGACCACGCCACACTCAATGCACTCCATCCCTTCCTAAGCTCGATTAGCCCCACAAATGAAGATGGCTTACACCTATACACCACCTTTCAAGACACACCCGAGATCGCCCTTCTAAACACCAGAGAGCCCACCCACATTAGGGGATGAAGGCTAGATCTAACCTTCGTCTCCAATACACTACAGCCTTTGGTCACCTGGCAGTTACACCCCACGCTGACCATGGTGAACAAACTCCCCACCCCATCCCCGCCGAGATGGAGATACAATACCCAAAAGACGGACTGGGAACTCTATCGGAAACATCTGGCTAAGTGGCGCGCCAAATCACAGCCGGCTGGTGTAGCACCCGTGGACGAGACAACCCTCCACCAACAGTTGGTCGAGGCGTTTCACCAAGCAGCAGAAAAGGCTACTCCAAAAACAAAGCCTACATCAAGACAGTACAAGGATTACTGGTATTACTGCTCCAGGGTGAAAGAACTCAACCACGGAGTCAACATGGCCCGAAGAAACTACATAAGGAATCCCACGGACACAAACAGACATCTCCTGCAAGACATAGTCAAGGATACCAGGGAAGAGAAGGAAGAAATCAAAAGCGCAAGCTGGCTCAAGTGGTGCTCCGAAAAGAACGAGCACACCTCCCTCGGCAAAATGTGGGCCCATATCCGAAGGGCATCTGGGAAGGCAACACCACCATCACCATCATCCCATCCAAACCCAGAAGAGGAAGCTGAAAGACTTGTAAAACTCTTCTCCGACCGAGCAGCAACGAAAAACCTCCCAAGACAAGAGGAGGAGACACAACGGCGTCTGCGACAGACCAGACCCCAGATGATCGAAGAGGCCTGCAATGGTGAAGATGACACCGACAGACCCCTCAACCGGCAAGAACCCCAGAAGTCGATAAAACGAAGCAAGGACACAGCACCAGGGGCCGACAGGATAACCGGTCCATGCTTTCCCATGCCAGAGAAGCTGGGCACGGGGCTCCTCCAGAGCAACTCCTCTACTACACAGCAACTTCCCAGCACCTGACTGCTTTGTACATATAATATATATTTACATATATATATATATATATATATATATATATATATATATATATATATATATATATATATATATATATATATATATATATATATATATATATATATGCTGATATACAAGGAAAGAAGAAACACGAGTTCACAAGCGTTGTAATTCACATCTTCAGGGTGAGTACAGTCTGTACTCACCTGATCATGAATTACACGGCAACTAAGCTCTTTTTCCTGATTCAACATATACCTAGATCACGCACCTACAGTGATTTACTTGCATATATATATATATATATATTGTAGTGGCGTCTCCCTACAACTCGTATCCGCATTCCAATGCGACAGTATCCTAGCAACCAAACAGGCGCCCGTCACCAGATGCCACAGTATCCTAGCAACCAGCCACCTCGTCTTCCTAGCAGCGGAATTGAGAAACGGCGGGTTTACTTCCGGCTGCTGTGTATAAGCTCTGTCTCTCCATTAAGATTCATTCTGGCCTCGGTTCCTGAACCGCCACCTCCTCCAAGCAAGCTCCTCGCTGTCCAGCTCTCATTCAACCTGGAGGCCAGCAACAGGCAACATCTCCTCTTTGAAGCTCCTGCACATCTACCTCCTTCAGCACGCTACTCTCACCGAGCGGCATCTCCAGCACCAGACTGGCTACCATATAACTTATATTATATAAGAAAACCACCACCTTAGAGTTCCATCCATCCTGAGTGCTAGACAACATAATATCATGAAACCCTACAAATGGTGACTCCGATTAGCACTCACACAGGATGGAGGGCTGACCACGCTCCCAGTCTTCAAGCAGCATAGAAGACTGGTTTATCCACACAGAAGCAGCTCTGCTACTCTAAGCAGACACCAGCTCCTCTTCCTGCCCCAAGCACCACATCCTACCGACCCCAGCACCCGTCCTGCCTCAGACCGACCCGGCCCAGCAGTAACCCCTGCGGCCTCTGTTCCTGAGTGCGGACCCACACTCACCCTCTTTTCTCCCTCAGGTACTCCCTGCTAATGTCCTGCACCTTGCTGCTGTCGTGGACCCAGCTGCTGTCACAGCCCTCATCGCTTCTGCTGGCGCAGCCCTGCTCCTGACCCAGGCACACACACACCCCAGCAGGCGCATCTGACGACTCTGTTGCCTGCCGTGAGGATGGCATTCATCGCCTCACACCTCTTTCTCCCTCAGATACTCCCCTGCTAATGTCCTGCACCCTGCTGCTGTCGTGGACCCAGCTGCTGTCACGAACCCTCATCCGCTTCTGATGCAGCCCCTGCTCTGTCGGGCCCACACACCCAGCAGGCGCATCTGACGACTCTGTACCTGCCCGTGAGAGCACAACATTCATGCCTCCACACACCCTTTTCCCCTCTCTTCTCCCACAGATAGTGTGTATCTGGACAGTTGCATCCAGCGACAGGCTCATCCACGCCATCGCCGTTGTCTCACAGAGGCATGCACTGCCGTTCTGCATCACATGCTAAGCAACTCTACAGACAACAAGTCTCCTACACCGCCTGGAGGAAGGGGGTATTGTAGTGGACGTCTCCCTACCACAACTCGCATCCGCATTCCAATGCGACAGTATCCCAGCAACAAAGCAGGCGGCCCAGGGCGCTGGGCTCCACAGTATCCTAGAAACCAGCCACCTTTTCGCGTCTTCCCTAGCAACAGAGTGGCGGCCTGGCGGGTTTACTTCGGCTGCTGTGTATATAATCTGCTCTCCATTAAGATTCATTCTGGCCTCGGTTCCTGAACACGCAACACCTCCTTCAAGCAAGCTCCTCGCTGTCCAGCTCTCATTCAACCTGGAGGCCAGCAACAGGCAACATCTCCTCTACTGAAGCTCCTGCACATCTACCTCCTTCCAACACGCTACTCACCTAACGTGTCTACTGAGCAGCTCCCTCACCACAAGGCATCTCAGCACCAGACTGGCTACCATATAACTTATATTATATAAGAAAACCACCACCTTAGAGTTTCCATCCATCCATCCTGAGTGCTAGACAACATAATATCACGAAACTACAATATATATATATATATATATATATATATATATATATATATATATATATATATATATATATATATATATATATATATATATATATATATATATATATATATATATTTCATGTAGATCCAATGAAAACGTGGATAAGATAATCTTGATAAAATCACATGTTGTTCCTTTTTCTTGATTTTATCAAGATATATATGTATATATATATATATATATATATATATATATATATATATATATATATATATATATATATATATATATATATATATATATATATATATATATATATATATATATATATATATATATATATATATATATATATATATATATATATAAAAGAAAATGCCATTGTGAGTTTATTTTCTCACCTTCATCCTGAGTGTAAGATCTCCATGTAGGCTACGTATGCATGTGAGCCTAACAAAGAGAAAGTTGACACAACAAAGAGAAATTAGACAACTGGCCACACACACTATGCTACAGAGCCATTAAAAATGGCTTGTGCCTGTGAGCTAATGCCCATACAAAAAATAAATAAATAAAAATATCGGCCACTGTACTCATCTTAACTGGGCGTGCCCCACAGGTGATCTCGTTAGGTGTGTGTAAGCAAAACCAATGATTGCACAATAATCCCATGATTGTGCTATCATGACCATCTATGGGGCTCTGTACATGCTATAGATAGATAGACAGTGATCGTGTGCCAGGCGGTGTGAGTCCGGTGGTACAGTTTACGGGTTGTTATAATCATGGTCGTGGTTGTTATAATCATGGTCATGGTTTTTATAATCATGGTCATGGTTGTTATAATCATGGTCATGGTTTGTTATAATCATGGTCGTTGGTTTGTTATAATCATGGTCATGGTTTTTATAATCATGGTCATGGGTTTGTTTATAATCATAGTGCGTGGTTGTTATAATCATGGTAGTAGTTTTTATAATCATAATTGTGGATATTGTAAATGTGGTGGTTTGTTATAATCATGGTCGTGGTTGTTATAATCATGGTCGTGGTTATTTATTCATGGTCGAGTAGTTTTTTATAATCTATAGTGCGTTTGTTTAATTGCGTCATGGTCGTGGTTGTTATAATCATAGTTGGTTGTTATAATCATAGTCGTGGATGTTATAATCATGGTCGTGGTTGTTATAATCATGGTGCGTTGGTTGTTATATTCATGATTAGTGGTTGTTATAATCATGGTGCGTTGTTGCGATAATCATAGTCGTGGTTTGTTATAATCATGTCGTGGTTGTTTATAATGTGGATGGTTTGTTTATAATCATGGACGTGGTTGTTATAATCGTAATTAGTGGTTGTTATAATCATTATGTTGTGTTATAATCATGGTTGTGGTTGTTATAATCATGGTGCGTGGTTTTATAATCATGGTGGTTGGTTGTTTATAATCATGGTAGTTCTTGATCATAGTGCGTGGGTTGTTATAATCATGGTCGTGGTTGTTATAATCATGGTCGTGTTTATAATTATGGTACTGGTTGTTATAATCATGGTGGGTTGATTTATTTATAATCATGGTTGATATTCATGGATTGTTATAATCTGAATTCGTGGTTGTTATAATCATGGTGCGTGGTTGTTATAATCCTCAGTGCGTAGTTGTTATAATCATGGACGTGGTTTGTTATAATCATGGACGTGGTTGTTATAATCATAGTCGTGGTTGTTATAATCATGGTTGGTGGTTGTTATAATCATGGTCGTGGTTGTTATAATCATGGTCGTGTTGCGATAATCATAGTCGTGGTTGTTTATAATCATAGTGGTGGTTTGTTATAATCATGGACGTGGTTGTTATAATCATGGGCGTGGTTGTTATAATCATAGTCGTGGTTGTTATAATCATGGTCGTGGTTGTTTATAATAATCATGGTCGTGGTTGTTATAATCATGGTCGTGGTTGTTATAATGTAGTGCATTGTTGTTATAATCATGGTGGTGGTTGCGATAATCATGGTGCGTTGGTTGTTATAATCATAGTGCGTGGTTGTTATAATCATGGTCGTGGTTATAATCATGTTGTTATAATCATGGTGCGTGTTGTTATAATCATGGTGCATTAGTTGCGATAATCATGGTCCTGGTTTTTTATATAATCATAGTCGTGGTTTGTTATAATCATGGTCGTGGTTGTTATAATCATGGTCCTGGTTGTTATAATCATGGTCGTGGTTGTTATAATCATGGTGCGTTAGTTCGATAATCATAGTCGTGGTTGTTATAATCATGGTCAGTGGTTGTTATAATCATAGTGCGTGGTTGTTTATAATCATGGTCGTAGTTATTTATAATCATGGTGCGTTGGTTGTTTATAATCATGGTCGTGGTTTATTTATAATCATAGTATTAGTTTATTTATAATCATGGTCCTGGTTGTTATAATCATGTGCGTGTAGTTATTTATAATCATGGTCGTGGTTGTTATAATCATGGTCGTGGTTGTTATCATTCATGGTTGTTATAGTCATGGTCCTGGTTGTTATAATCATGGTCGTGGTTTGTTATAATCATGGTCATGGTTGTTATAATCATGGTTGGTTGTTATAATCATGGTGGTTTATTTATAATCTTGGTGCGTGTTGTTAATAATCATAGTCGTGGTTGTTATAATCATGGTGCGTGGTTATTATAATCATGGGCGTGGTTGTTATAATCATATTTGTGGTTGTTTATAATCATAGTGCGTAGTTGTTATAATCATAGTGCATTGGTTTTTTATAATCATGGTCCAGGTTGTTATAATCATGGTCCTGGTTGTATAATCATGGTCTGGTTTGTTTATAATCATGGTCCTGGTTGTAATAATCATGGTCGGCGGTTATAATCATGGGCGTGGTTGTTATAATCATAGTCGTGGTTGTTTATAATCATGGTCGTTAGTTGTTGTTATAATCATGGTCGTGGTTGTTATAATCATGGTTGTGGTTGTTATAATATCATGGTTGTGGTTGTTATAATCCATATTTGTGGTTGTTATAATCATGGCGTGGTTGTTATAATCATGGTCCGGTTTGTTATAATCATGGTCCGGTTGTTATAATCATGGTCAGGTTGTTATAATCATGGTTCAGGTTATTTATAATCATGGTCTGGTTGTTATAATCATGGTCGTGGTTGTTATAATCATGGTTCGGTTGTTAATAATCATGGACGTGGTTGTTATAATCAGTCGTGATTGTTTATAATCATAGTCGTGGTTGTTATAATCATGGTCGAGGTTGTTATAATCATGGTCGTGGCAGGGCCAGATTCAGGAGTGGGCAAAGTGGGCAGCTGCCCAGGGCCTCCACAATCTGGGGGGCCTTCACATGTGTAGTAGCTATATCAGGGCTGGTCGACTGACCATAAATGACTCCAGTCATGTCTCACTTTGTGTGTGTATGTGTTGGGAATTTGTACACTATCAATAAATATACAGTTAATTAAAAATTTATTGATGTTCTAATTTCCTCAATATAACTGCATATGGCTAAAAATTCAACAAAAGTGTTCAAATTTCAAAATTTTTCCGGGGAGCTTACAGCACCCCCGGAAATCAGATGTTTAGCTCGCTTCACTCGTCCCCCCCCCTCTTGGGTAGTTATTATGAGGGGGACTCACAAGGCTGCCCATGGGCCTCTGAGTCTAAATCCGGCACTGGGTCATGGTTGTTTATAATCATGGACGTGGTTGTTATAATCATGGTCTGGTTTTTTATAATCATGGTCCTGGTTGTTATAATCATGGTTGTGGTTGTTATAATCATGGTCGAGGTTGTCATACTTACAGTATCTAATATACTATAAGAGGAATAGAATAAAGGTTAGAATAATTAGTTAAAAATATTAGCGTGGGAAAGGCCAAAATCACAAAAAAATTATTATGAATCACCGATGATCATTCGAGATAAATTATATTATGAAGAAAGTGACCTTGATTCTGGTTAGATTAGTCACCTCCTTAAGTCATCACCTGTGTTAAGTCATCATGTGTGTTACATCTCACATACTGTAAACATTGATATTCTTTCCAGGCGTGGGTGTTAGTTTTCAATCGTCTTATTATTTCGCTGTTTGATGTAAGACCTCCTACCCTCACTGACGCAGCTATGGTCAATTTGGTTGTTACAGGTTGTACCTCTCTAGTCCGGCAACCTAGGGACTCTCACCAGTGCGGACCATGCAAATTGCCGGACCATGGAAATTCACCTTTTCCTGGATAGATAGTGACTTGCTTATGCTTGGAAGCATAGCACCACTTCTCTGCATCATGGTCTCTTTGAAGGGTTAAATGTCGTGTAGTAGCTTCTCAAATTTAGCGAGTTTATAATTCTTAACGTATTTTATTGGAACACAAAATTAAAATAAATAAAAAGATGCGCGGAGGAAACTTGAATTTTGGCGGCCCGTAGCGTGCAGGCAGCGTGCATAATCGTGTAAACAGCGTCATCTCTTATGTACAAAAGATTCATTATTGTTTATTACTGAATGACTTTTTATTGAATTAATGTTTATGTGTGCAAAATGAGCAATAATTCATTAATAATAAGTAGAATATTAAAACACTCGAGAAATGACACAGCATTGTTTTGTTGATTACAAAACCAGTGACTGACTGGTTCTACATATAAAACTGAAGAAAATAAGACCTTGGTTGTAGCTGTAGTAAGAAAAATTAATATGGTTTGTTTTAAGTAATGTTATTTAATGTTAATAAATGGAACAATAGAAGTAGCTAATGATAATGGTAAAGAAAAAAGAAATCGGCGTATGTAAGTGCGCTTTATGTGGCTGCGTCATTACTTTACATAAGAATATGAAAGCAACACTTATTTACGGTTCATATATTCATATATATATATTAATTAATGTTTCTGAATTTGTTTTCATTGAATTAATAATGTTATTATTATTATTGCATTAACAATACAATTTATTAATAATAAGTGGAATATTAGAGAGAGGGCGGCTGCGGCATTGTTTATGTTAGCTTACAAAACCATGACTGATTGGTTCTACATATAAAACTGAAGAAAATAAGACCTGATTTTAGCTGTAGTAAAATTAATGTAAAAAATTAATATGGTTGTTTTGAAGTACGTATATATACCAGTGTATATGCGAGGTTTTAAGACCAAATTTTTTTTGCAAAAAGTTGAAATTGACCTCTATCACGGGTAATAGTTTTGTTAGGTTGAAAAATATTTACCAGTAACTACCAGTAAACAATGGAAACAGCACCACCACTTTGTGAATTAATAGGTTACAGTTGCCAGGGAAGATCTCTTTCGTCATCATAGAGCCAAAGTATGCAAATACATGGTATATGGTATGCACAGGGCGATGTAAAACATAAAGTATTCATTTTTAAAAGTTTATTTATAGATACATAAATTTTGTTAATTAAATTTGAAACATCAATCTTTGTTAATTATATTTGGAAACAAAAAGAAAAATCGATACTTTTTTTAAATATTTTCATTAAAATATTACATCAGCAAGTATATTTTTACCTTAACTGTGCCTGAATGAATATATTTCTCAGAAATAAATATGGAAATGTAATATTTTTTTGCTGAAATAGCGTGTATTACGGGAAGTGGGATATAATCGATGGCGAAAACAATGACTTTGCTTTCTTTTGGTTGTTTCAAGATTTTGCGTGTTAAGGCTTTTAGAGATTGATTTTCAAAAAACTTTTGTATTACAATAATATTCTATCTAATTGACTTGAATATCTCTGATACCATATTTTCTGTATATTTTCATTAAATCCATCAAAAATCATTTTCCTTGTGTCATCATCTGCAGCGCAAACAGCCTCCAGTCCTCTCCTTGAACTGCTTGTCATTATGGATCAACACATAATCCATATTTGGATCTCAATATCTTCTATCCTCCTTGCTCTCATTAGCCTCATGTAATCCACAACAAGTAGTCTTCTTCCGTAAAGGCATTTGAAATCCACATTTCTTAAAAGATTTTCACAATTTCTGGTCTGATTGCATCCCAGGCCTCTAATCATTCACATAATGTTGCTGGTGATGGAGCTTGGATGTTGCCTCCCTTTGTGTATGTCTTATCGCCTTCTATCATCCAGTTGTTCACTTCACTCTTTCTTTAAATGGTTTTGTTTATGAAACATCGAGTGGTTGGATAAGACTTGTTAATCCAAAGGAATCTGGCTGTATCATTGTTTTCCTTTACTAATCCAACAGTAACACTGTCAACAAGATGTGATAGAAACATATCACACAAGAAGACTTTTCTTTGCGCAGTCCCCTGGTCTAAGTTGCAGACTTTTTAAGCCATATTTGTATGCGCCTTCATCCATCCATCCTTTCGTGCACATGGATGATTTACCTTTGTTTGTTTGGGTGTTTTCCTTTTTGATATTACCATAAGTAGCTTTGTTTTGTCAGCTACTTTGTGATAGCACAACTGTGAATCTTATTTTTCATGTCAGTAGTGTTTTAACTAAAATTTTTTCACCAGCTTTATTCACTGTTTGATTGGCATATCTGAAAATTGGGCGTTTCATCATGTTTTAATATACAGGAAGTCTATATGAATTCTTCTTCGGTGTTTGATTATGGACCTATGAAATTCAATAACCTTGTCATCAAGTTCTTGTGGAAGGCGCTGTGATATTTTCGTTTTTACGTCTCAGTACAAAATCATTTCTTTTCATAAATCTTTTTTGCACCAACCATGGCTAAGCTTTAAAATCTGTGATGCCTAATTTCCTTGCTTAGTTTTAGGGCAGATTTGTTGATCCTCGGGGAACATGATTTTAAGAACATAGAATGGAGAAACTGCAGCGGGCCTATTGGCCCATACTGGGCGGTCCGTTTGCTTTTAACCCTATTGCTCATGTGAGCATCAACCTATGTTTAGAAGCAATTTAAGTATTCGAGTTAATGATGATGTTTGGTAACTTGTTCCATTCATCCTATGTTTTAAACCAGTGTTTACTATTTCACGCCTAAATCTAAATTTGTCTAATTTAAAACCATTGTTAAGTTAGCTCCTGGTTGGATAATTTGAGTACCTTTGTAATGTCCCTTTGTTGTTTATTTTCGCTTTATTATACACCTCTATTGGATTGTCATTTCGTCTCTCAAGGGGTGCAAATTAAGATGCTTTAACCTGTCTCTATACTCAGGGTTCCTATGTCCGGGATATTCTTGTCATTCTCCTCTGAATTCTTTCCGGGGATTCTATATCCATTCTTATGTCTGTGACCAGAACTGAACTGATAATCAGGTGTGGTATCTAGTATAAGATACAGTTTTAGGATGACCTCGCTAGTCTTGTAACTAACACTCTGAACTGAAGTACTTTATTAGCCTTATTCTGAGCAAAAACACATTGTTTTACTTGGCTTGGAATTCCTACTTATCATTGCTCTAATCTCAGCAGTGGTTTCTCTGTGTGTGAATTTGTTCATCTGGTATCTGGTTTCCTGTTTACATCTCTATACTGAGTACTTTACATTTAATAGACTTTGAATTTCATCTGCCATTTTTCCGACCATTCCAGAAAAATTTGTTTAGATCTTCCTGTAGTTTGCGAGTCTCGTCAGATTTGATAACAAGTCCTATTTTAGTGTCATCAGCAAATTTACTTATGTTGCTTTGTCTATGCCGATATCTATATGGATTTATGTATATAATAAACAATAATGGTCCAAGTACTGAGCCTTGGGGAACTCCGCAATGACGTTGCTCCTTGGGACTTAGATTGCCGTTAATGCTCACTCGCTGTTCCTGTCCTGTAACCCACGCCTAATCCATTTTAGGATGTCACCTTTGATGCCATGAGCTTCCTACCTTTCCTAAAGTGGTCTTTCATGGGGGACTCTGTAGAAGGCTTTTACGCAAATTAAAGAGATATACCACATCATAATTAACCCTCATCCACGATTCGAAACTGATGAAAAGAATGTTAATAGATTAGTTAAGGCAAGAACGTCCTTGTGAAATATGCTGGGAATCATTGATGTCGGTGCTTCTCCAGGTGATTTCAAATAGAGTTTTGAAATGATTTGCTTCAATATTTACCTACTATTGATGTTAGACTGATTGGGCATTATTTAGAGGATATTGATCTATCCCCCTTCTTAGCTCGGTCTTACATTAAACCTATCCTCCAGGATTCTGGTACTACACCTGTTTTTTGGGACACCTTATTAAACTTTGCTAAGAACCTTCTAGCTCTTCCTTACATTCCTTTAAAACTCTGGCAAAATATCTTCATCAGGACCAGGTGACTTATTAGGCTTTAATTTGTCTGTTGCTTACTAACATCGTTACTAGTCACTACTATCTCCACTTAATTTGTTTTCTTCACTATCTCTGGAATAAGTCGGTGCCTCGGGTATCATCTTAAATTTTCGATTGGTAAACTGTTGAAAAATATTTATTCAAATTATTGCTCATTTCTCCCGCCGTTATCAGTAGGCTTCGCCAAATCTGGCCGTGAATCAGTCGGTTTTCATGACATACTTCCACTTCAACTTCAACTGTAGCCCACTTGTTTTACTTTCCTCTGTTGCCCATTTGTTTTTAAACCCAAGCAAGTTGTGCAGAGCTTTTCCAGTCTCTCTTTTTTTGAAACCAACCAATTCCTTGCTGCTGCACAGGATTTGTTAGTCTGTTCTGCATATTCAATCACTCTCAGCTTGAACATAGCTGTGAACTTTCTTCTTGAATCCATGCTGCAGAAGAATATGGGTCCGCTGCGTCTACACTGTAACAAGACACAATTTGAAATATGCACGTGGGCTGTCATTGATGACATAATATAGTGTTGAGTCAGGTCATCTACACACACACAGTTATAAAGTTCAAAAACTTTCCTTTTTAAAATTTTAAGTTACAGTATTTCTTTTCCCAAATCATTTTACAATACTACCTTGGGTAAAAACAGTATACTATTAATACCGACTCCACAGAAAAAAAAAATTAATAAATGGAACACCAAAATGTAAAAAAAAAATGCTGTCTGACTTGCAACACTGTTGGTAGGGTCAGGTGGTTCTAAGAATTTGTCAGACCAGTAATCAAATTATAACAGTATCTAACCTCAATTACTGTAGTTTATCAGTGTAGGCAATATGAGTAAAAATACCGATTAAAGTGAGAAATTGGAAGAATAAACAAGAAAAGATGTTGGGCTATTTTTGTGGTAGGGCTGAGGGAGAGAATACCAGCTGTTTGGTCTTTTTGGCGGGAGAGTCATAATAATACGCTACTAGTATTTTTTTTTTGGTGTCTTCTGTGTATTTTTAAAAAATGAATACTTGTAGAATTAAAAATGCAAGCTAACATTGTATTATATACAAAACTTGTCATATTTCTGGAAAAATAAAGAGCTTAAAAGAAAAATAGAATATGCACGATAGCTTAATTTCAGCGTGCGGCTAAAATTAAGCTTTGCTTAAGAAAGGGCCGATGCAAAAACAAAGCCTCTCGACCAGGGCTCTCTGCGTATCCTTCAAAATTTTATGTTTCGAATGGATTTTCAGTTAAAACTTTTTATGCAAGTGAATTAGAATGAATTATTATTTATAAATAACAGTTTTTAACTGAAAACCATTCAGCGATTCTGATAACATCTTTTCAGCAGCGAAGAAATCATATTGTTTTGTCCGCGATTTTATCCACTTTCCACTGAATAAGTACGTCATTTCAGCAAAAATACATTTCCATATTCTCAGAAATAAATAGTAGTTTTGCTGAAAGCGTGGTCTATTTCAATGTAAATATAGGATATACTACATGCGAAAACAAAGGAGCTTTACCCTAACCTTCAATGTTCAAAGATATATTTACTTTCGTTTTTTAATGAACAGTTAAAATACTGTTATACTTCGATACCTTATTCCTATTCATACTGTGATTTGATATAATACATTCAAATGTATTACGCTGAAATAGCGTCACAATATTACAGTAGAAAGTGGGATAAAATTGTGACGAAAACAATGACTTTTGCTTTCTTTCGTTCAAAAGATCATTACATGTCGGCTTTTAATTGGTTTTCGAGTTAAACCATTGTATTACAATAACATTCCTCGAATTGACGAATATCGTATGAAGATAAGGAAATATACGTATTGGGGAAATTACCAGCGTTCACTGTAAAATTAATACATTAATAATATTAGTAAAAACAAGTTTATGGGGCCATTAGAGAGTGTTGTTTTTTACTGGGGGTTTTGTTGTTCCTTTACCCTCAAAAAGCTTGGGTGGAGCCTATAATGAGAATATCATAAATTAACGATTTCTTGGTCAAAAAAAATGGGGAATTGCGACCCTATATCTGGAAGGGGTTATAGACAGTATATCAGGCCTGTAATGTTATTTATTACTGACCATTGAACGTATAAGTAGCTAACCATTGTGGTAAAAAAAAAGTGAACTCTTGTATGTAAGTGCGTACGTAATTTTATATCATCATTCTCTGAAGAATATAGAAAACCTTGCTTGTTACTGCTCATATATATATTGAAGGGGTTAAATGTTTATTACTCTGTATAGACAGAAAGAGAAACAGCCCTGCTGAATAGCAAACAAATGAATTTCCCATGACTTGTTTTTTTTTTTTTTTGAGGATTAGCCCACCGAGCGTCAGGTCACTGACCCACATTTGGAGACTGAGGGCAAAAATTTAATATAAATTAAATAATAATAATAATTCAGATAAGTAAAAAAAAAAAAAAAAAAAGCTGCCTATCTACCTGGTGGATGACTAAAGATCGTTTTAGGACACTTTGGGGTTCCGGACAGGAGATACAGATGAGAGAGTTTGGCACCATACGCCCATTGTTTCAGATATTGCTTGCGTGGAAGTTTACTTGAAGTATGCTTGCATAGATTAACTGTTAATCTCTGATAGCAAATTCATGCTTCGGAGGGCCATTTAATATACGATCCTTTCGCTTCTGGCGGTCCCACATTCCGCGTTTCCACATTCTGGCAGTACCCTGCGAAACAGGAATGCTCACATTCGCGGTCCGTGTGCCCTTGGCGGGAAAGCGGCTGGCGGGCAGCGCCATTTGGATCCCAAACCTCACGCCATCTCTCCTCTCCGCCATCCGCCATGTTGCGTGTGGCCTTGATATGGTGATGCACACAAAGATGTTGATCATCAAAACATTACTAAGGTTTGCCTCTAGCCATTGATCCGTGATAGTGATCATTGTAGTGAGGATATGGACTTATATGGACTTTGAGGGTTTGACAAAGGCCCTGCAAGCCTCTGTGGTGGATAGTGATACAATTGGTAAAGTGATACAGTGAGGGCCAATAATCACCCTCTGCCTCGAATAGCATACATCACGTGTGCCCAGCCATCTTTTCTACTAATGTAAGTGTTAAAAAACCTAATATTATTGATATTTCTCTTAATTATTAATTGTGTGTACATACCATCATAAAGTTAAAGATATTTTCCTAACATAGTTGTGTGTGTCATCAAAAATTGAGTTGGGGAGTCGGCCCGGTCTCTATTTCAATTAATCATATGTTATGTTGTTCACTTCTGGCGTTTCTCACTTTCATTGTGGTACCCTGTGGGTTGAATTAACGTAAAGTGAGGGTTGACTTCTCTTTATTTTTTCACAATAAGGCATAGTATGACAAATTACCTATCAGTAATACTAATTATGCAAAAAGTAGCTTGTTAAAGATCAGAATCATGACCATCAGCGGTAGGGAAATGTGACTCTTGAACAACTTCATATTTCCTGCCTCTGTTTGACAACTATTTGACCAAGCTCCCCAGTTTGTCACCTCATCCACCAACTTTCGGGAACGTGAATATTTCGAATGTGATTCTGATCTTTTAAAATGTTAGTTTTTGCATATGTTATTACTGATATATAAACTCTTTCATCTTGTACTCTAGCAGGATGCTTATTTAAACTCTCACACATCCCAATTGTTGTATGTATATAGTTGATCATGTCCAGCAAATTACTTCACATTTTCATGGTATTCATGTGAACTGGTGACCTACTGGAATTGATGGAGTTTAGTACCTTTGTGAAACCAAGCAGCCTTGTGACTTTTTTGTTGGGTGTCAATAAATAGATGGCAATCTAAGGTTTGTACTCAATGTTTATTTCACCAAAAGGCAATCTACATCGAAGTAACACAACAAATTGGGGCCAGAAACTTTTGAAGAAAGTTGCAAAAACAGATACCTTTTTCTGTATGTTTAAAAGTCTTGCAACTAAGATCCAATAAATTCCTCTTTGAGATTAGATGTAAGACCTTTGCCGCTTGATACTTTAGTGAGACTTAAGTCCCTGACTAAGTTATCTATTTCATCTTGCTGATTAGGAAAATGTGAAACT